ATATAATATGTTGCCCATAATTAGATTATACATAGGAAATAAAATATTTCCTAACATTGATTCCCTCAAAAAATCTGGTAATTCGAACCAAAATGGCCGGGATATTCATTCCGATGGCTTCATAGTCCAAGCATGGCATAGCATAATATATAAAACTCCAGAAATAGCATATGTATTACAAAATTAGCATATTTTGACTGTATTGTATTTATCAAAAATTGTTGAAATTTACAAAATTAGCATATTTTGCCAAAATGATTCCATAATAACTAGTAAGAGATTCATCATATTATATGCAGAACATTAGAAATTTAGAATTATATTCCAATTAATTCCGTCTATTAATTTGCTTAAGATTTCGTCTGAATAATCACACTATCCTCGATCTTTGACTACTTAATCAATCATCCTTACTTATATATTTACAGCAATGGCTCCCAACAAATTAATCCCAAAAAACAGTAAACAATAATAAGAACAAAAACAGTCAAAAAAAAAAAGCTAGTTAGTCATGGATAAAAACCTCAACATCATCTTCCCATGCTTCCTACTTGCGACAATCCTTTTCAACTGCGTCCATGCAGTTAGATACGTCATCAAAAATAACGTCCCCAACACACCCGGCGGCAGGCTTTTCGACCAAGAAATAGGGGTCGATTTCGCCCTTCTCACCATGGAAACCGTTAACTACTTCATCTGGAAAATCTTCGAACAAAAACTACCCTCCGAAATAAAAAACGTGCCGGTCCTGACCCTCTACATATCTGACTTCCAAGGATACGCGTACAAAAATGGGGACAACGTGAACGTGAGTGGACCCGCCCTTGACAGGTTCTACTTCCCCCGCAACAAGTCCAAATTCTTCTTCTCGTCCCTAATGTACCACGAGATGACCCACGTTTTCCAGTGGCACGGTAATTTTACGGCGCCGGGAGGTTTAACGGAGGGGATAGCTGATTACGTGATGGTAAAGTCGAATATTTACGAGAAGGACAAGTACACGAAGCCGGG